GCCGGTAGGACACACAGGGGATGGCATTCGGTTTCCTCGGCATCTGAGGGGGGGTATACAAGGTGCATAGGGGGGATTGGTTCGGGGGAAAGAAAGGGCCAGGAGAATGAGTCAACAGACTCACATCACATAAGCTAATTCAGTGTATACTCAGCCTTCTGATGACAATTCTGGGCAGGAGACCGGTTGGTCGCGACCTTTGACGTGCTTCAGTGCCATCTTGAGGGGCAATACGGCATAGTGGTATTCCAAATTAGAGTGCCGTTTAGGGGCCGGTGTCTCAAGGCGGATAAGAATATGGGGTTTGGTCTGACGGACATAGGGTTAGTAGAAAGCGGAGGGTAATACAGGGTGCCTGGATACTCCTGCGCGAGGGAAGAGGGCTCTCCCCGTGTGTCCTTCGGTTGCGGTCAGATGTGCCAGCTTGAGGGGCAACAGTGATGGGTAGGGAGAGTGGGCTAATGTGTTTCCGTGGAATCAGTACTCCTCGTCATTCCGTTCTCCAGGTCGGGGAGGTGAGCCAGTATCTGGCAGCGTAGGGCGATGTTGCTTGCTGCGTTTCGGGTCTGTGGTGGCTGGAGGCGATAGATGCCGTGGTGGTAGGGTAGGTGGGCGAGTCGGGGTGCGTCTGCGTTCTTTCTGCGTGGGTGGAGTGGGCCTCAGGTCCTCATACCAGTCCTCTCCAGGAGGTCATTAAACAGCTGGAGCAGGGTGGTGGGAATGGAGTCGGGCATGACGGTTTCCGGGAGCCCCGGATCCGTATGTTGGAGCGGCGGCCTCGGTTGTCTAAGTCTTCCAGCTGGTGTCTGATGGTGATGAGAGATTGAGATGTCGTTTCTTGTTGGTGATGAAGCCGTCGTAACGCCACATCTCTGGCTGCCCCGTCCCGTTCGACCACTGTCAGTCTGCGCCCGATGTTTCTGATGTCGTCTCTCAGTTCAGACACCGCTGCGTGTAATGTGTCCTTAATGTCCTCTGCTATAGAGGAGAGGTCGGATCTGGTCGGTAGATGTTGTATGTAGGCCTGTACGGAACTGTTCACGGGATCAGTAAGGGAGGTTTGGGCCTTGTGAGAGGAGGCCTCTGCCATGTTGGAAGGTGGCGTCTCCGTGGCCTTCTGACGCTGGGAGCGGAACATGTCGGGTACCTGTTTGTTTTGTGGGTTCCCCTGCAGGGCGCGTGGTTTGGCGGGGGGGTATTGTGGTCCAATCTTCCCCATGTCGTCTGTGGTGAGGTTGCAGAAGCTAATTTTGGGTGCGGCTGTTCAGGAGCTCCGGAGTTAAGCGGCCATCTTACTTGCCGTGGTAGCCACGCCCCCGTGCAGAATAGTTTAATCCAATAAAATCATAAAATTTATACAGACAGGTACTCACAAAGTGAATGTAAAAACGAGCAGCAGGACAATGCAAACGGAGCAGATCAAGGGATCCGTGTAGAGCGTCCTGTAAGACTCACTGTAGTGTCAACGCGTTTCCGGGACACGCCACCTTCATCAGGACGTGATGAGAGTCACCTCCCTGCTGAGGCTAAAGAAAAGTCAGCTGGGACGTGATTGGCCCAGATGGTAAGAGCTGATCTACTCCTGTGGGCGTCGGCATATGGTAGGCGGTGCCATAGTAATGGGCAGACAAGACGGGGCTTGGAACGGGCACCTGACTCGCTGCCAATCAATACTGTGTAAAACCGGAGGCTATATACACAGGTTGTCTGGTGAATGGGACGTCCCAGTTCGTAGGAACCATTAATGAATAAAAATGGACAATATATAAATAAAAGTGGAGAAAAACTCCATTCACATAAAACCATGATATATAGATAAAAACACATAAAAACACATGAAAGGTATTAGATACCTGGTAAGTGACCCTGACAACCAATTTAACGTTAAATTTATAAGTGATGTGTGTGTAGGGGGAGCATGATGTGTGTGGAAGAGCTCAGTGGAGCAGGCGGGGGCTGATGGGTAGAGGGAGGAGGTGGGCTGCGACCGGTAAAAACCAATGGAGAGGCCAATACTGGTACAGATGCGGGTCAGAGTGAAGAGACCAATTCTAAACCTTCATTGAGGCCTGAAGGATGAAGGCTATTGAGGGAATAGATCCAAAAGGATTCTCTTTGACAGAGCCTCTTGAATCTGTGGCCCTCATCGAGGTCATCAGCAATCATCTCAATCCCAAAGACCTTCAGACCCTCAGGGTTAGATTTGTGAGCCTCCAGAAAATGGCGAGGGATCGAATGGTCATCAGCCTTTTTCAAGATTGTTGCTAAAGGGACAAGGCAGCTCCTGAACAGACTTTCAGAAAAAAATGTTTGATGCAGTCTAACACAAGACTAACAGTAACAAATTTAGTTATAAATAAAAATGAAGCATACAATTATATAGACAACATAAAATAAATTACAAATTATAAAAAAAAATACAAGGTACTGGTAAGAATTTGGTTGGGTAAAATATTATTATATTCAACAACCATCATAGACTTATCAGACTTGCTTAACATTCTATAAGACAGTGAGTAGGAATCTAGAGACAAGCAGTTCTGTTGCTGAGCAAAAACATGTTGATAGGAGGAGAGCTAAGACTAAAAGAGAGATCAGCGCAGGGGTTGGGGGTGGAGAGGAGACCTATAACTGTTACTGAACTGTAGTAGAGAAAAATCAAGTCTGCTGAGGGCTGTGTGGTGTGGCAGAGCAGTGTAAATCTCAGATGAATGGACAAAAATACAAATCCTTTGGCAGGCGAAACGGCTCGCATATGTATTTAATTTGTGTATTTAGCTTTTTGAGTGAAGTTCAGCTTTAATTAATACTCCTTTACTGTCCCAGAACCAATAAACATACCACCCATAATATACCATGTGCAGTTTAGTGTTTCTTTTTCCCTTTTATATACAGGGAAAACTATCTATTTACTGCTGTCCTTTTTAGAGTGGAGTGCCAACAACTTAACTGATGTTGTGCATGAAACTTTCATATTTTTTAGATACTCCAAGCTGTCATAATAAATGCAATTTCTTTTTGCCAGAAGCATATACATTTTTTATTATGCACTTTCCTGTAATTTATTTATTACAGGTATTTGCATAGCGCCGAAAATTTCTGCAGCGCTTTACATAGTGCACATTCACATCAGCCCCTGTCCTCGTGGAGCTTACAATCCCCTATGTCACATGCATACATATGAGCCAGGGCCGTCTTTACTGCGGGGCAAAAGGGGCAGGTGCCCTGGGCCCTATATTTTACAGGGGCTCACAACAGCTGTCTCTTTGCCGCAGCAGCGCACGTAGGGAGAGAGAACGGCCGTTCATCCTCTGTAGCAGCCGGCCTCTGTGAAGAGACCGGCCGGCGCTCCGTGCGTGTCTCCTGCTGTGATCTCCTCCCCCGATGCCTGCCACAGAGATCCGGCAGACACGGAGGAGAAGGAGGGGGAGGGTACAGCCAGACAGTACAACTTTAAAGGTAATTCTGAAACGAAAAAAAGAAATGTAACATTCATTATCTGTATATGCATTTATGTCTTTAGCTGTACATGGACAGTACATCTTAGCACTTGCACACATGTACTGTCCATGGGAGCAGGACTGGGAAGGAACAACCTGGATTGTGTTGCATTTACAGGCATTTCACTAAACACTTCCTGCAAAGATTATTCAGTCCATGTGATTGGTGATATGCTGTGTACAGTAATTGCAATACAAATGTTACTAATATATCCATGTTCTGTACTACATGTAAATCATACCATAAGATTTAAATTAAAAGTCTTATTGTATGATTTATCAAGTAGTATGGAACAAATGAAGCACTACGTGGTTATATTACACGTGCATATATATATATATATATATGTAGCTATTGTTTGGGGACATGCAATGTAAATGTAATACCGATTTTACTAATATAACCACATAGTGCTACATGTGTTCCATACTACTTAATAAATCATACAATAAGACTTTTAATTTAAATTTTATGGTATGATTTAACAAGTAGTTCAGAGCAAATGTACCAGTACATGTGGGGCAGGAGGCGACGTGGCGGTCCATTGAAGTGAATGGCACTGTAGCCACGCCCTCTGGCCGTAATGAGATCGGCCACATGGAAACGCAAGGCACATCCATGCCTGCGGTCCGGTCCGAACAAAATAGTGCTGGCAGCATTCACTTCAATGGGCCGCCACGCCTCCTCCTGCCCCACAACATAGTGAGCCGGCCCTAATGCAGAGCGTTCCGGCCAGAATGCACCGCGTCTGGTGTGAACGAGGCCTTATTGTGTTGCATAGTCCTGAGTCTATTGTATTAGTGCATTGACCTGTCTATATAGTATATCTCTATCAGTGGCGGACCTAAGGAACAAAGGGCCCTGGTGCAAGATTTTTTTTGGCCCCCCCTGTATACATTACCTCCCTCTCGCACGCTCTCGGATGATCCGACACTCTCGGCGCAGAGATGGGGGGCCCGCTGGCCACCGATCGGGTGCTGGGACTGTGCTGGGCCCCGAGGCCCTGGTGCGTCCGCATCGCCTGCACCGGCGGTAGTTCCGCCCCTGATCTCTATATCTATTTACACATATATTGTTTTTTTTTTTAGTTTCGGGGGAAGGTTATGTAGGTGGATATGGGGGTCTGGTTTGGTGGAGTGGGAGGGGGGGCAGGTGATGGTGGTGGGTGGGTTGTGGGGGGCCCATCAGAAAAATCTTGCCCAGGGCCCACTTAATTTTAAAGACGACCCTGATATGAGCGCCAATTAACCTACCAGCATGTCTTTGGAGTGTGACATGCTGAGTACCAGAGGAATCCCACATGAAAAACCAGAGTACCCAGAGGAATCCCACGTGAGCACAGGGAGAAAATGCAAACTCCTTGCAGATAGTGTACTGAACAAGATTTGAACCAGGTACCCCCCCAATGCTACAAGGCAGAAGAGCTAACCACTACACCACTGTGCTATTAGCATTTAATTAATGTTTTGTTTATAGTTACATATAAAAATAAACCTTACCATCTTCTGCTGAATATACAGTGGTCTTCAGACTGTATGGTCCTTCTCCTTTCCGATTAAAAGCTTTGATCATGACATCAAAGGGGGTGTAAGCTGTAATGGTCTCATTCCGGTATACAAACTGATGGGACTGCACCCCAGGTACTCTAAATGTCTGCCAGGTGTCCTCAGTCTTTCTCTTAAAAGCTACAATATATCCAAAGGCATCTCCATTCTGATATTGTCTTCCAAGAGGCTGAAACACCAAGTAAAAAATTCTGACAATTTTTTTATTCTAAAATAGCAAAGGTGCAGCATACATTTAATGAAAAAGGATAGTCTGAGTCTTTCTAAAGCGTCCATTATTTAAACTAAACAGATATCAAACAAAGGTGTAAAACACACAAGCAAAGCCATCTCTTAAATAACTCTATGGATCCAAGGAGACAGCAGTTTTTGCTGTATTTATCCTTGGGCACCAGAAAAAAAGCACATGTATAGAAACATACATTTAAACATATACATTATGACTCATCAGTCCACAGCACCTGCTGACATTTTCCTAACTCTATCCTTGTGTTTTTTTGTAATTGGTGAGTTGTTTGGCCGTGTTTATACCTTAAAATGGCTTTCTGACTACAACTATTCCATGAAGAGCACAACTTTGGCAAACTGAAGATAGTGGTACCAGAGCCAAATAGTTTCTATTAGTTGTGAGCGGATAGCAGTGCTGGACATCTTCCAGTTTTGAGTGGAAGTAAGCTTACACAAGTTGTAAAGACACAGAATATACTATCCTGTTATACCACCAGCAGTGTAATAGGTATACATACTATAGTTGTCTTTGATAATGCAATCAAAGCTTACTTTAAAAAAAACTAGGGATGCATCGATACAATTTTTTCAAATTACAGATACCAAAAACAATAGAAACTAATGATTTTAGGACATTGGTGGAGCACCAGGACCCAGTCGTAGCTGCAAACGTTGTGCCCCTGGTAGCTCTGTCACTGACTCCAAGCTGTAGAGGGACTACAAATCTCAGCAATACATTATACAGCAATGCAGAATACCACCAGCTAGAGAGGACTACAGATCCCAGCAATACTTTAAACAGCGATGCAGAAAAATACCATCAGCTATAGAGGACTACAAATCTCTGCAGTCAGATAACATTGAACCGTGACTGGGATGAGGAGGAATAATCTGCAGTCAGATAACATTGTACCATAGCTGGGATAGGAGGAATTCTCTGCAGTCAGATAACATCTTACTGTGACTGGAATGAGGAGGAATGATCTGCAGATCTCAGGACATGAAACAATGTACTGGAGCAGAACTGCTTTACCCTCATCTTTGCTCCCCCCCAATCTCTGCCCCTACCATCTCTGCCGCCCGATTGCTGCCTCCTGTATTTTGCCTTCCTCAGAGGGGGCTGCATGGCACCGCTGTCAGTGTACAGCCTCCTGCCTCCTCCCCTGGCGGGTCCCAGAGTCAGTGCCGTGGTCTCAGGATGGGGAAGATGTGTGGCTGTAAGCTAGGCCCCCAGAAGGCTGCTGCAAGGTCCCTAGCAAGCATTGGACCTTACGACAGCCGAATCCATTAAAAAATGTAAAGGACCGGATACCGATACAGCTTTTATCATGGGGACATTTTCACAAGTACGAGCACCAATACAGATACTGGTATCGGTATCAATACATCCCTTAAAAAAAACTTTTATGTAGTGAGTGCTGCCTTCCATCTGACCATAACTTTCAATAACGTCTTGGATTCCCAGTGTGCTTTGCATCTTTTTTCCTGCTGCTTGATGTGATGCAATTTAAATTTTTCAAGACTACATATCCCATCATGCATTGCTTCCAGCAAGTAATGTTGATGTTACTTTGTGGGAAGTTGAGATGTTGAGTTGTAATTCAGACAGTAGGCTTAGTTGTGACACAAGGAAGTCCATACTCACAAGCCTGAGTGAAATTGTGTGAGTGCACTGGGGAGTGCACTATGGATATCTTCAATAAGTACGTTTACAGCGTTCTAGATCAATATAGTTATTAGGAGTGGGATAGACCTTATGGAAATGAATATACAGTAGATAATATAGATTAATAAAAATACATAATTATTATTAGTTTTTCACCATAGATACCCTTTAATGTATTTCTTATCTGCCATATTTAGTTTCTGTTGCTGACCACTGCATGTTGGTCCTTAACCATGACAGTATGTCTGCCACAAACTTTCTTGGGAAGAGTTCCATGCAGTTCCATGCCCAGTTTTATAACCTCTACACCAGGGGTGCCCATTAGGTAGATCGTGATCTACCAGTAGCTCTCAAAGGTGATGCTGGTAGATCACGAAGGGTGCGAATGGTGGCCCCTTTATTCCATTTTGGTATATTTATTTAGCTGTGCACACATGATTACCTATTAGCCTGAGTCTGCTGAGCCAAGCTCCCTGACACATGTAGCGCTCACCCCCGAAGGAGCCGCTGAATATTGAAATAGGTTCTCCTATGACGGCTCGGGGTTTAGGGTCTTTTTAGGGTATTTATTTGCAACATCAATAGGAGAGAGAGGGTTTAGGGTCTGTAGGATGCCATTGGAATCTTCTGAGGACAGCTTTCTCCCCTAGCAACCGCTAAGGCCGAAATCACTGCGATCTGGTCCCAGCGACCAATAGTGGTAGTAGTAGTACTGTGAACCGATACCTGGAATAGGGTGTGGGATCTCCCTTGTGGGTCCCAGACGGACGCTAGCACCAGCTCCTCTGCGGTACCCCTCAACAAGCGGACTCCTCCCCAACCCAGCTTCCATCAGGTATTTTACTTAGCAACAGGATCTGTAATCTCTGTGCCCTGAGCATCTGCAACTGCCAAGGAGCACCTCCAGTTTAGTGGTCGTATCTTCTTAGAACAAGGCACCCATCACCTGCCACGTGTATGGGCCCAGCGAAGTATCAGTGTATCCTAGGCCTCTAGGCCCCTCAGCACCTGCCATGTGCTGAGGCCCAGGCCAGTTTCCTGCATCACACACAGTTCTCCTAGGGCGAGGCCCCTAGGGGAAGAGAGCTCTCCACCGTGTCCCCAGACCTTTTATTACCTGCCCTCAGCATGCCTCTGAGTCATCCTACTCAGGGATTGGCTAGGGTCAGGTGCATAGTCATAACCTGAGGGTGGATCCTCCCTCACTGTATGCCAAGGCTCCCTTTTCCTCAGCAACAGGAGGAGCAATCAATCCAGCAGACTCAGGGACACCTATAGAATGCAGAGCTCTGTATAATCAGTATCTAGACTGGTTACAGTCCAGGTATCTCTAAATTGAATAGCGACATTTTAGAGTGCGCTACACTCTCCCTCTACTTGAAAATGGCCTTGTCCTCATAGGCCGGGAACAAAAACTTGCTCTTACTCCTAAGAGCTGGGCATCCTACAGCAAAAAGTGGATGGGGAAGGGTAAAAAGGGTAAACTGCCAACAGGTAGTTTTACACATATAAACAGACTGACAGAGGTAATAACAGTTGCGAAATTCACAGTTCAATTGCATATCAATTGTTGTCAAAGGTACATCTTGGTAGTGCAATAGTGGCTCTCACCGTGCAAATCAGCCGCTCAGTGACAGGTACTCTTGCATGAGCAATGTCATATCAGAACATATCAGGAGTAGGTCCCTACAACTGACTATCTAGTAGTAATAGTATCAATTAGGTCAAATATACAAACAGTGCACTGTAGTTTGCTTGAAGTACAGGTCTCTGGGTTTCGTCACCTGCAGAGGAATAAACAAAATACCAGGCAACATACACATTCCTAAGTATCAGAGTTTTGAAGCATCATTCTCTTTAAGTATGATCCTCCAAATTTTTAAATCAGTACACATCAGTTGAACAGTAATGCTTACAGTAATACTTGACTATTTAGTGACTATTCAGTAACTTAAAAGTCCATCCCTCTACTGCCATCTAGAGGTGAAAGAATTTAGTGCATCAAATAACTTTATACAATAAGACTAGATTTTGATCACGAGGACCTCTGCAAAAATCCTGGAACAAAACAGAGAAATAGCATCCTATCTGACTATATAGCTATGGGTGGCCAAACCACAGTATACATTTAGTCCATTTAAACACAAAAATTCTTCTTGGTAGAAACAAACCCGTTTACGAAAAAAATCAACCGTCGCAAACTGTCCTGAGGTATTCCTGCATAACAAAGGTTCAGCAAGCTGTAACAAAGGCAGAGGAGCCCCTCCGCAATTCAGTAGTGACACATCACAAACTGAGGTAACTTTCTTCCAGTGTTGGATAAACATGAACTTGACTGCCACCTAACTTAGGCAGAGTGCAGTCAATGCATATCAGGAACAATCAAAAAAACACAGCAAACAGTGGGGTGAAAGGCAACTGAAGGCAGAATGCTCACTTGTAGAAGTGTGGATCTGGAACTTGCACCATCTTGCCTTTGGAATCAAATATGTTAATGGCATATTCTTGATCCTTGCGACCAGCCTTTACCACCACCACTTTATCTTTGAAGATGTAACGCCCCAGGCTCCAGCTCTGCCTGCAGCACAGGAACTTTTCCCAGAACTTTGGGTAACTTGCATTCCTGCAGGGTTTGGGCACTCCCAAGTACTCCCACACCTCGTTATCACACCAAGCATTTCTCTTGACTTCAATCTCTTCCATCACAGCTTTAGGCACATAGGGGTACTCGTATCCATACTCAAGAGTGACCCTCTTATTCACAACTCTCTGAAGTCTAGACAGTCTCGGTAGCGTATCCACATTCCCTTTTCCTGTCGGGACACATGAATCACGCGCCCTCTCAATCAAATCTTTATGGGCCTCATTGTGTGCCACCGCTTGTTTGTAGGTGCGCGGTGGTGAAGATTCGAGCCGCCGCTCGTAGTAGGCCGGATGAAAGCCCAGGCCCCTGGCACTTTGTCTGATCTGGGCACTATCCACCCGCTTCTCCTCCTCTGGCTCTGCAACATTTTCAGGGAGTTCGTCCTCCGCTAGCTCTCCCCATGACCTGTCTGTCTGAGGTAGCTCTGAGGTCTCCCCCTCCTTAAAGTCCCGCTCCAGCTGCTCTGCACTACAGGGGTTCCCCTCTGGCTCCGCTTCTGGCTGGGATGATCCTATCTCCGATCCCCCACCACTAGCAACCCCAGAGGTCATACCTTCCTGTAGACTCCGATCTCCGAGCGAGTTGGCAGGTGCATCCGATTTCTTCAGCAGTCCGATCAAGGCCCCTCGAC